GATGAGGACAGTGGGAGGGGTAAGGCCAGAGGGTGGGGTGGGAACTGGGTGGAGGGGAGCTATGGGGGGAAAGAAAGAGGAACAAATGTAATAATCTGAACAATAAAGATTTAATTAAAAAAAAAAAGAAACACTCTTCATTTAATGATGAGCTCAGGCCCTTTTTCTTATTTTTTAGAGATTTTTAGTTGATTTTTACAGAGAAAGGAAGGGAGAGGGAGAGAGATAAACATTGATGAAAAGGGAAACATCGATAGGCTGCCTCCTGTACACCTCCATTGGGGATCTAGCTCACAACCCAGGCATGTGCCCTGACCAGTAATCAAACTGGCAGCCTCTTGGTGCATGGGTCATCACTCAACCACTGAGCCACACTGACAGGCAGCCTTTGCTTTTTATCTAGTAGAAAGCCAGTATGTCCTGATATGTCAAAGAAAGCAACCCCCTGCTTGCACTTTTTTTCCAAATTACTTTAGTATTTTAGAGGCAGCCTGCTCCTTTCCAGAAACAATGCTTTTGTGGCACACAGCAGCTAGTAAAAGAAGCTTCTAGATACAAGCATAAACCTAAGGAGGATGCCTGCTTTTAAAGCAGAGTGCCAGAGGGTAACGTCTCCACATGAAAGGTGTACTTGCTTTCTTCTCTAATCCTGGCCACTTGTCCTTGGGCTGAGAGGCCTGGGATGCATCACTGGGCCTCAGTTTCTCCTCTCTATGCTTCTGTGCATGTTTAGAGCACAAGGGCGTGAAATCTGGTCATGCGTGCTAGAATCCTTCTAGTGAACAGAGAAACAATTCTAATGCAAAAGTTATAGCATGGTTTTGTACACCTGCTTTATAATAACGACCTACAATAAACATCAGAATTGGGGAACAGAGCAGTTATTTTGTTTTGTACCTTCTAAAACAGTTGTCTCCTCCTGCTTTTTGTCAAGCACCAGTTGCTCCATTTCTTTCCTCAGGTCCTCCTGATCTAAGTTACAGGCATCGAAGGCATCACTGACAAACTCAGAAACGCCTGGGCTGGTAGAGATCTCCTCTTCATCCTGAAATGCAACAAATAAGCTCTGGAAACAGTTTGCTAAGCGACCTTTATAGGCTAGACCTCTTGTTCATGGTCACCTCACAGTTTAATACATCATTTTCGTTTCCTCCCTCTGCTAATCCAATAATCACTGCTCTCCAACCTTCTAACCTGCACAGTTGATTGGTAATGAAACAAGTTACAACCTGAATCTATTGTCTTCATTCACAGTTTGGATCACTCCAATCATTATGTCCAATCCCCGATGAGCACACCTAGAATGATTTATGCCTCAAGTCTGAGCTGTAGATCCTTAACTATACAAGTACTAGACCCTGCTGGGGTCCAACCCCAGCAGGTCCAGGGGTCCCCAAAGGTGTGGATGGAGTCGGCTAAGAAGGAATGACACGGAGACAGTGTTCAGTTGATCAGCAGCCTTGCCAGGATCTCTAGCCACAATCTCCAGCCAAGTTCTGTTCAGGGTCTCCAGCGAAGTTCTGGTTTTGGCTTATGGTTTCTCATGTGTTTGCAGTGAAGATGTTGGTTTGGATCTCCAGCCAG